CGCGCTCGGCTCGCCGGCCAAGGGGCCGCCAATGCACGGGCTCCGGGATGAATGCGATGCAGCTCCCCAACGCTGCCCAGGAGAGCGAGCACGCACAATGACCCCGGCCCAGTGCACCAGATGCCGGCCCCAAATGAGATGCGCGGCCAGCCGGGGGGCGCAGCCGGAGCCCACACACGCACTGGGCACGGCGAGGCCACGAGAGGCCGGCCCTGAACAGGCGCCCCGGCGAGCAGGCGGCCCGGGCTTTCTATGGGGGCAGATGGACAAATGCACAGGGAGCGGTTCCCAGAGCCGCAGGGGAGGAGGGTGGGCGCCATCCCAGGCAGAGGGGCCCACCTCTTTGTAAGAGCCTCCGCTCGGGGCCCTGCACAAACGCCGGCCTTTCTCGCGCTTGGCATTGTCAGCGCCGCTCCGCGATGGCCCTCAATTAGCAACGAGCGCCCACCCTCGCAGGTGCAGCCGGGCACCGAGAACAATGCGGCGGGGGGCCGCAGATGGAGGCGAGGGACAAAGAGGGCGCAGAGGCACCCCGCTGGGGCCTGCACGGCCGTACCCGGCCGCCAGAAACGTGGCTGCCACGTCCGCAGACCGCGGGGGGCGAGGGGAGCCCGGTGGCGCAGATGTCCCCCCATCCCCGGCCGTGATGCCACGGGTGGCCGCGGGTGGCTGCAGGTGGCCGCCGGCCTGGATGCTGTCCTCTCACCAAGCCGTTTCAGCAAACGCTTCAGTCTGGGGGAGAAAGGCGCAGTCCTTTATTTTGTCTGGGACACACGTGTGTGTATTCACACACGTATATGTGTATGTAGACACACGTGCATGCACTCCTATGCTCTACACCAATAAAATCCGCATCCCCAAGGACACACGCGACCCCAGGGCTCAGAGACTGGGCTTGACCAAGGCTTGTCCAGCGGCGGCGAGACCCCTGACATCTTCTGGCCTACAGCCCTGGACTCTGGGTTACAGTGCTGGGCCTGCAGTCCGGCAGACTCGAGTTCAAACCCAGGCCCACATACTTCTGGTTGGGAGATCCTGGGCCAGTCACTTAACCTCCATTTGACTCACTTTCTTCACCCATAAAATGGGGATAATAAAAGCACCGACCTCACATAGTGGCTGCTCCATAAGTGCTTATTCCCTTCCCTTTTATCTTTCTCCTTGCCCAGGTCAACTCCTCCACACGTGGCCCTGCTCCCAGCTTTCCCTCCCAGTAGACTGTAAGGTCAATGTCTCTCCTCCTCTGTCTCTGTGTGTGTGTGTCTCTCTAGCCCTCGTTTCCTTTCTCCTTTTTTGTCTGTCTCTCTCTCCTTTCCTTCTTCCCTCTCTCTTCTCTGTGTCTGTCTCTGTCTCTCTCCTTCTCTGTCACTCCCTCACTTTGTCTCTCTTTCTTCCTCCCTCACCCTCTCTGTCACTTTTTCCCTCTTTCTGTCTCTTTCCCTTTCTCCCCCTATCTGTCTCTACGTATGTCTCTGTCTGTCTGCCTGTCTCTCTCTCTCTCTCTGTGTATCTCTGTGTCTCTCTGTCTGCCTGTCTCTCTGTCTTTCCATCTCTGTCTCTTATCTCTCTCTCCCCCTCCCTCCCTCTCTTCTCCTCTCTCTGTATCTCTTTCTCTGTCTGTTTCTGTCTCTCTCCTCCTCTGTCTCTCTCCCTCACTGTCTGTCTCTGTCTTTGTCTCAACTCTCTCTCTCCCTTTTTCTTTCTCTCTCCTTATCTTCCTCTCCCCATCTCTCCCTGTCTTTCTTCCTTCCTCTCCCTCTGCCCCTTTGTTTCTCTTTCTCTCTAGCTCTCTCTGTTTTTCTTTGTCTCTCTGTTTCTATCCCTTTCTCCCTCCTTGTTTCTCCCTCTCCCTCTTTCCCTTTTTTGTGTCTGTCTTTCTGTCTCTTATCTCTCTCTGTCTGTTTCTATCCCTTTCTCCCTCCCTCTGTATTTTCTCTCTCTCCCTCTCCCAGTCTCTCTTTCTCTCTCTGTTTCTATCCCTTTCTCTCTCCCTCTTCCCTCCCTCTCCCTGTTTCTCTCTCCCCCCTTTCCCTTTTTTGTGTCTGTCTCTGTCTCTTCTCTCTCTCTTTCTCTCTCCCTCCCTCCCTGTTTCTCCCTCTCCCTGTTCCCTTTTTTGTGTCTCTCTTTGTCTGTCTCATCTCATCTCTTCTCCTCTCTCTCTCTCCTCCACTTTCCTCTGTCTTTTGTCTCTCTTCTTCTATCCCTTTCTCCCTCCTTCTATTCTTCCTCCCTCTCCCTGTTTCTCCCCTCTCCTCTTTCCCTTTTTTGTATCTGTCTGTCTGTCTCTTCTCTCTTCCTCTC